AAAAAGTATAATGCCTTGTTATCACATTAAATGCATAGATAACTGTTATTGTTTTCAATTAAGGCTTTTTGGAACTTTATTCTTTTCCAACCGATGTCGTTTCCGTTATTTATTTTTCGACATTCATTTTTCATCATTTCACCTGTTACCAAATGCTTTAAAATCGATTCAGCTTGGTACCTTAGAAATTGCATTAATGACCGATATTGCAGATTATTATTGTTAAGGGATATGGCACTGCGACCGCCGAGTCGCCTTCCGGGTGTAGAGTAGGCTTCTAAGCCCTGTGATATAGAACCTAAATTACAGAGTTTTATTGCCTCTTCCGTAAGAATATACATTCCCAGGAGACTATATTGGAGTCTGATATTGGAGATACTATCTGAAGATTTGGTTAGTGTGCCGTCTCTGTATTTCGTTATCAATATCACGCATCCATATTTCTAATCATAGCTCTTTTTTAGATATGTAGTGCGGTTAAAAAATCCCACATTTCACTATATAGATTAACAAACCTGAGTATTTTTAGTTAAAGAGGACTGGTGTAAGAATAAAAATTTGATATTTTGCAGTGGCATTTCAGAGATTCTATGACCAGTTATTAGTACCTTGGGGCCAATAACTCTAAATCAGCGAGGTGAAGCCCGCGACATGTTTTCAATCTAATACAATTACGCAAATTGGTGTACTGGTAAAACTACATTATTTTATTATATGGTATACCGAATGAATGAATTTAAATCAATAAATTAATAAAACTAAATTTAGCATTATAACCGTATTTTTATTTTTATTGAAAACATTTTTGAACGTATATATTTGTTTCTGCGGCTCTCCAGTGCAGTACAGTGAGTTATATTGTCCTGCGATCGTATCTGGTCTGGACAGCCCTGGTCTAAATAAAAGAAAAAAAGAAGTGATTGTTTATATGGAATATTTTTAGATGTTTATACTTGATGTAGAACGCGTGATTGAGTAATTTTTTAAATATACATACATCTAAAAATAATGCCTCGATCTAACACCTAATAATAAATTTTTTAAAAACAAGAATTAATTAGATTTAAAAGGGTTTATAGTTAACTGATTGGATTCGTTTCTAGTGGCTTCGTCAGGATTGTGGTAATGAAGACGACAGAGTTGCATAATTTTTATTATTTTTAGATTATATCATTAAGGAGAACTTATACTCCTATACCCAACAGAACACGCCGCTGATTGCATATACTGACATATTTCTTGCTGGATGATATGACTTTTTAAAGATAGTAATTTAATTTGATAGAAATACTCCACTTAATCTGTTTACGAATCTATTCATATAAAGTTTCTAACAATTCTGATTAGAAGTTCCTACACTATTTTTTGCTCATTCATAAAGGCACTAAAATTTTATGACACTGACGACCCATTTTAGGTGATACTCCATTTATCTGAACAGACAATGTATTATTGTATTATTGTACACTAAATAACATATGTAATGAATATATATATTATATACACAAATATTTTTAAATAGTTTTTTCATAGTTGTAAGAGATAAGATAAGATGAATAATGTATGAAAAATGTTATTTGTAATTTTTTACAACGGCCTTTAGCATAACAAAATTTCAAAGCAATTAATTTGCGTAAAAAACTGCATTAGTGGTTTTTAAAAACACCCTACAATAGTTGATTTAATAGTAAATTGTAGTAATTCATAAGTAAAATTCATCAGCATATATGATATGATATAAATGTTATTGAATTATGAGAGATTCTATTAGGTAAGCCAAAATGTCCGTCCTGATGTCATGTTGGCTGGTTTAACGAAAATTAATGAATATATTAATATCAATATAAAATAATTAATAATAAGAATAAATTAATTAAATTAGAAGAAAGAAAATTTTTTTCAAACAATGAAAGTGAGGTATAGAAGACGGCAATCCAACTTTTGAGATGAAGAAGCAAAGTAAGTCGGGATGTATAGAGATGCTTAGTAAAGAAATTAATGGCTCATCTTAGATTGTAATGGTATATAGAAAATTTTGATGATGATGAATAAATTGAAAGTGGAAACTATTTGGTATGTTATAGATAAGCGTCTTCATCTCTTTAATAATTTTCAAGAAATTCTTCAGAATTTCTGAACCATTCTCTCTTGAGTAGTTTGGCTTATCAATTTATGATGGCTTCACAAGATTAGTAAAGAATAAGGACAAAGACTATATTCGAATTTAATTGAAAGTTCTTTTCAACTTTTCTTTTCGAAATTTATAAATAAATATAAATTAGATGTAACTGGTGAATAAGATGGATGTGGTACTGCCACATAACGATAATACGACCAATGCTACTGATGCAGTCACTTTTTCATAACAAAAGGGACTTTAGCTTTCTTTAATTTGATCGTCTAAGCACTCTACTCTAAAAAGTGTCACGTAACATTGTAGTCCTATTGTTTCGCAGTTTTATAGGTAGTTCATCACATGATACGGAAGTATGTATGATGAACAACAACGATTCAGAAGAACTGAACCACGAAACTACTGTGGCACTTTAGTGTATTAGGCAATATCGTTTATGTCTATAGCGGATAGATACTTCCATAAAAGGAAAGCTTTCTAGCGGGTAGAGGACAGTGATAAAGTCGATGGATAACAATAACAGAGAAAGAGATCTTCTCTCTTTCTTCTGAATTGCAAATATGACAGTTGTCATTGAAGGTTGACGTGTCTACCAATGAAACAGTGTTCCATTAGTACGGTTATTGTGTTGAATGAGTGAAGAGGAAGTCTTCACATTCACTCTGTTTTTTTCGGGTCAGCGCTAAAGCATGGACAGTTCTCCAGTTCAAAAGGTGGTAAGTTGTGCTTTTTCTCTATCCCAACGATTTGACTCATTTTTGTAATTTATAAATCGATATATATATATGTAGACATACATAGTATACATAGTGTACATAGTGTTTCTATTGAAAAGCTTATCATATTTATCTCTAAGTACGCTATTGACAATTTTTGCTTGAGATTTTTATTAAATTTTAATAAAGTGATTAAAAAAAATAAAAATATCGATGCAATTTGTAAGGAATCCAATACAACTGCAACTATTTCAATGTTATGGATTGTGTCAACTTACCTCTCTACCTATCAGATTTATCTCACTTCCAGTACTGTGAAGGACTTTTCGTGCAGAACTTATATTTATGTATTCATTTCCTACTGCTTCCGTCAGAGTTAAGATCAAGTTTTTGAGCCAAATATACCACAACAGTGGAATCCAGTGTTCCAAAAAGATTAAACGTAACGGTATTGTTAGAAATTTAGTAATTTTTATTGACAGTGACTTTTCTAGCTAACTTAATCCCTTTAGCTGATTCTTTAAAATTATTTTAAGGCAAAATCTGTTTTAAAAAGTCAACATAATATAGTATTTTATATATCATATTTATAAAATTATTTTATGCAATAAATTTATTTTCTAAGAAGAATATTAAACAAAACTATATATTTTATTGCCATTTAATAGCACATACAATTATTTCCTTTATAATTCTCATTAACTTAAAACTCAATTGTTAATACGAACATGTTGAACTGTATTTTAAGGTTATACACATTTTAATATAATTCGAATTACACAATACTAGGGTTGATGATTTATGTTCCGCATTCGCTAGAGCCCCATAGAATTATTTACATATTTAGTTTTGTAGATTGAAAGTTGTAAATATGTCACTTTATTGATTGAAGTATTTACGTATGTAGAAGTATTAATAAATTTATATAAAATATAAATATATGAAATAAAATTTACTTAGTGTCATACAACAAGTTCTACCATCAATTGTTTATTGAATTCGGAATGAAGTTACTTTATTGAAATATCTTTCATCACTCTCAGAAAAAAATCAATTGGAATGTATCTCAAACCAGAACCTTCTAGTCAATAAATTGACTTGTAATGGGGAAATATCTAACAGTGTTCCAACTTTCAATCTCCTATCAATAAATTGGAACAAATCCAATGCATTATATAAATAAAAGATCTGATTGTCTTACCAAACGAGAAGCCCAAAATCAATTATTTGTAGCCAAGTAATTCTGTATTCTTACGAGTTGGTACTTAGTAGACATACTCAAATATTAGGAAGACTCTCACTTTAAAAAGAAATGTAGGAATTTAAAGACAGGCTAAGAAATTCATTAACTTTTTAAAGTTATTGTTGAATAGACTACTTACGTTGACCAAAATGGAGGATATCAAAATTCTCAACGGATTTCTGACTGTGCTGTGCTAGCTGTTATCCTAACAAAATTGCTCTATATACGTAAAATAACTATTGATGCGTTTGGACACATTCTCTGTGAATGTCCTAAACTGAGCAGTGATAGAATGGTCGAAGAGGGAACAGACTTGTTGTTCTTTACAATGTATGAAACCATAGTAAGACGTCAAAGGTACTAACGATAAGCTTTTAAGGTATAGAAAATATAGTGTAACAAGCTTTGATCATTTTAAATCGGTATTAAATAAATTTATAATGAACATAGGTAAAAGGTTTTGATCCATTATGTGGATCAATGGAGACATTATTTGACTCCACTGCTTATTTTTTATTTTAAATAATGAAATGATACAGAATACAAAATTATATAGCGCCCTTTGCCAACTTAATGAATTAAATTCGCCACTGTTTAAAGCTTACTCAACATTCCTGCAAAGTTTTGTTGTATTTGGTGAGATACGTAGGGTACTACGATTTGGGTTCCCCTTTACTTTGCCAAACGTAACAGTTTTCTATCGGTTTTTTTATCAACTTTGATAACAATTTTTTTTTTTTTTTTTGATAAATTCTACACTGGCTTTGAAATTTTTTTATATATTATATATATATATGTACTTGTATATAAAAAATTAAAACTAAAAAATATTTGTCATATTTTGCAGCAAATTCAGTTGAAATACGAAAACGTTAACGTTAAGTCGTTGATAGTTTTATTATTTTTTTCTTATGTAAAAATGTGGTTCGTTTAAAATAATTTCCGGAAAAGTTTAAAGTATAATTCTACTTTCGTATCAAAATGTATCTTTTTCTAAAACTTCTACTTCTGTTGCCTGCAATACAGCTACTGTGCGCTTATACTACCGGTTCGTGAAAATGTATTAAAATTTTATATAAAGAATAAGATTCATACATGAACTTAGGTGAAGTACACCCTACACCCTTTGCATTTAATGGTGTCAATGCTTTGGATTAAAATTAAAAGTGAATTGTAGTGGAATAATCTGTGAATACATAAGTACATTACACCCTACACCCTTTGCATTCAATGGTGTAAGTGAATTGTAGTGGAATAGTTTGTGAATACATAAGTATATTGCACCCTACATACTATACGACCTATGTCAATGCTTTGTTTTAAATTTTAAAATGTATTTTAATCGAATGGATTTTAAATATATGTGTGTGCTATACCCTACATCCTTTTAATTTTATGTCAATGCTTCGGTTTAAATTTTAGAGTGAATTGCAATGGAATAGAATATGAATATATATGTGTTCTATACCCTGCACCCTTTTCATTCTATGTCAATGCTTTAGGTTAAAATTAAAAGTGAATTGTAGTGAAATAGATTCTGAATATAATAGTTTGAAGCTGAATATTGTGCATCCGAATATAAAAAATGTTATCGGAAAGTTTTTGTCAAATGTCGAATTTTTATATACATACGTATGTTGAAGACCCCACCCATTTTACGTGATCAAGGCTTTGTAAAATTATTAAATGTTATATTAAATATTATCTCATGTTATTGAATTCATAATAACAAAAAAATTATTTCAAAAAATCGATTTCTTTTAGCAAATGCTTAAGTACTTAAGTTATTCCCTAGTAGGTCGTCTCTCTATGCCACAGAGAGGTGGGTTTTCGGTTCGTTTTTATGCATTAAAAATGAGAAAAAACAAACGTTTTATATAATAATAATAACAAATGTTGTGCTATATCCAAAATTATTTATTGTTTATTTATTAATTTTTAACATAAATAAGTGAATAGTCTGAAATCTTAACTTGTGGTGAGAATTAAATTAAAATTAAAATTGTATAAAATAAAATAAAATAAAATAAAATAAAATAAAATAAAATAAAATAAAATAAAATAAAATAAAATAAAATAAAAATAAAAATAAAAATAAAAATAAAAATAAAATAAAAATAAAATAAAATAAAAATAAAATAAAATAAAATAAAATAAAATAAAATAAAATAAAATAAAATAAAATAAAAATAAAATAAAAATAAAAATAAAATAAAAATAAAATAAAAATAAAAATAAAAATAAAAATAAGAATAAGAATAAAAATAAAATAAAAATAAAAATAAAAATAAAATAATATAAAATAAAATAAAATAAAATAAAATAAAATAAAATAAAATACAATAAAATAAAATAAAAATAAAATAAAATAAAATAAAATAAAATAAAATAAAATAAAATTAAATAAAAAAAAGAAAATAAAATAAAACAAAATGAAAAAGAAAAATAAAAAAAAATTAAATACTATAAATTAAAAAATTAAAATAAAAGAAAAAAAATAAAATAAAGTAAAATGAAATTAAATAAAATAAAACGAAATAATAAAAATGAAATAAAATAAATTAAAAAGAAAATATAAAATAAAATGAAATAAAATAAAATAAAGTAAAATATGATTAAATAAAAATGAAATAAAACAAAATGAAATAATAAAAAATAAAATAAAATAAAATAAAATATAATAAAATAAAATAACTAAAATAAATGTATATAATTTTTGGATTGTTAGTGAAAGCAGTACAAGCTAGTCAAATATAAATTGTGGAATTTTTTATTAAAATATTTATATATTATATAAGGGTTCGTTATATGTCTATTAAATATGGAGGTATACGACTACATATTAAGTGTTTTTGCAATAAAATTCAGCTTAAATTTTATAACTGATAACATTTTTATAACATTTATAAAATTTATTACATCTATAACATTTGTAACATTTATAATATATAAAAACTTATCAACTTCCAATATTCTAAAAATAATGACGGCTTAATGCAAGGAAATACTATTCCATAAAATGCTAATTTTAGGATATTAAAAGAATGTTATCAATCTAATAGATAAATAGCTTCAAAATTTATACTCCTCTTCATATAGCCATATTTAAGTGATTGCATGAAGCACTTTGATCTATTTTAAGTTATTATTATTTTATACTGAATCAGTGTATTGGGAATAATGAAATGAGTAGCTATTGAATTCTTTTTTCAGATGTGATTAACGAATCATTAACTTAATGAATGAAGTCCTCGCATCTACTTTTGATATAGCTTAGTTAAGTTTTTAGTATTTAAGCAAAGCACAAGTATTTCTGTCCTAGATATTGAACTAATTACTTAGAAAAACCATCCCATATTTACAATCACTTTGGTTTTTTACATAAAAATTTAATTAATTACTTTACTTATACTCCAATATAATTAAAGTCCGCATCTGAATTGATTCGAATAAAGAATTTATTCTGACAAATTAGCAAAAACATCACAGAACTATACGCTCAGACTCAATCAAAGTTTAGGTTTAATATTTCCTGTAGATCCAGATATATTTAAAAATATGCATTCAACTTATGATAAAACATAAAGTTGGTTAAAAAAAAATATATATATATAAAAGTCCTTTTTCGAAATATACAAAATTTATAAAATAGCTATGAGTTTTAGTCATCTCGACCACTATTTCAGGGCTTTTGTCCAAATAATAAACATTCAAATTAGATGAAAAATGCCACTTGTTAAATCAACAACGAAGACCCCGATGTTAAATTGAACACGAAGATCCCGATTCTTTTTCCACAGATTATTTAATAGATAGCCTACTAAGTATTTAATAGATAGGGCTACTATTTATTATTATCTTTTATATCTGCAGAGCCACAACTACGACCACAACTCATTATAAGGTAGAACCAGTTTCAAAGTATGTGTTTCTGTCATGTAGTGACCCATCAGCACCGACACCGTAGTGCTAAGCAAGTTACGCCTTAGTTGAAGTAGCTGACTGGTACGTTTTTTGTCCAATTTAGATCAGGTTAACCTAGAGATCTGAGAGGAGGATACGTCTACCCAGTATTGTTAGACTATGCTCAGATATTTTTGTTTAATTTCTAGTTTAACTGTTGCAAGTGGTACGCTAATATTTAAGAAGTAGATGTTAGGAAGAAGAGTGTCTGCTTTGAAAAGCTCATCTCTGAAGCTTGGCAGTTACGAGTTATATATGTTGTGGTTGAAGTTCCAACTAGTGATTTAATGGCAGCTTGGGTTTTCGAGAAGATTGAAATTGTTTCATCAAGGATTTGGTTCCAAAGTGCTTATTTTACTGCATAATGGATTACCATTATTTCTGTCTGAAAAACACTGCAGGCTTTTGATAGTCGAAGCGAAAAGCTGAGACCTGATTTTCTAGAAAATATGTCATAGCCGACTCGTTCGTCAATTTTGAAGCAGTTTGTGTACGTATAAAATAATGAAGACCTGATAGTCTATAAATTCTATATATTCAAACGTCTTAACAGATATGAAATGACTTTAAAGATAAAAGGTGACTGTTAATTGGAATGAATATATCACATACAGGGGTAATTCAAGAAATAATCTTAAACTGCTTAATTCCGGGATCACAGGCTATTGTTTGATGAGCTTACATCTTCAAACAACTACAATGATTATATTTTAAATTTGATTATTCTAAGTTTTAAGCATTCATCCTAATTGAAATACTCGTACTGCAAAATATTCGTATGAAAATTCTTGCTGTCATAAAATTAATAAAAAAAGAAAAGAAAAAAATTTAATAAAATATTTTTTATTTCACTATTTGAAAATATAAATGCAAGAATAAAAAACAATTTTTTTTTTTTTTTTTTTAATAGAAAATGAGTGCATGTTTCAGGATACCTGCGAGCGTTGCCTTAGCACGCACATCAATTGCTCCTGGTGCACGGATAAGGTTCGTATGCAAATATGACAGAAAATGTCAATATTTAATATTTTTTTTTAGTTTTTATTTTTTTTAAATATTAATTTAACCTTTTTGAAATTTTTTCTGACCTCAAAAGTCATACAACGTGAGGTATCGTTGCTTGACGCGAGAACTTCTGTTGGCGCACGGTTGCGGTGTGGACAACATTTACGAAAACGAACCGGAAATGCATACGCTGAAGGATGCGGCCCTCAAAGACTACGAAGACAACGATGAGCGCGCCATACAAGTGCAACCGCAGCGCATTTTTCTCAAATTGGTGAAATGTAAGTGGAGCGCCTAATTCATAATGTATAAGCGTATAATCCGCATATGAGTTCCAATCGCTCAGGCCAATATTTTTACCATATTTAAATTTCATTGAACGAAAAGATAAGATAAGACTTTTCAATTTTATTTTTTATTTTTTATTTTTATATTTTTCGATAACTGCTGACACAGTTCAAAACAGTTTTTCTCATGATAAAAAAGTAGTTCCAATGCCGCTACCGCCTTTGCCCACTTAGTCTGACAGTAGTCGGTCGGTTGCTGTTGTAGTCGGTGTCGTACATGTGTACTTACATATTAACGCGCCAGTACCTCCGCTGCTGCCCTAGTCTGTAGTAGGAGTGCTACTATCTACGTACGAGTATCTTTGTCGCTTTGTATCTGCTGCTGTTTGTTCAAATATTTGTAGAGTTTTAACAGTGTTAAAAATTGTGTCATCAGCGCTTTGAACTCCTCCTCTTCTAGTTGACATCACAAACGTTATATTTCTCATTGCCATCAGCCCCGTCGCCATCACTATCGTCATCGTCGTCGTCATCGTCATCATCATCAAAATATCCGTTGTCAACTCCAATGTTTATTTGCTTTTCTGATTTGTTTTGACAGAATTTTGAAGTTTTTTCACTCGTACATTTTGTTATCTTTCGAGTGTGATAAAGTATCGTGGGAATTAAATTGCAATCCTTTTTTTTCAATTAAATTTGGTTACTGTCATTTATTAGAATTCAAATGAAATCTCTTTTTATTTCAGTTTTTTTTTGTTTTGTCCACAACTTTCTGTTCTGAAAACTGCGTCAGGACATTTTGTTGAGTTGGTGTTCCTCTTTTTAGCGCTCACCTTAGTAATAAGAAAACTTTTCCAATTAAAATATTGCAGTGACAGTAGTTAATTAAAATTAATTTTTTTCTATTTTTGTAATAATAATCTCCAAGGTACTAAAATATATTATAAAAAAAGGTGAAAGCATATATGTTATATTATAAAGTTCGTAATAACCATTAAACTTGTCCCGGAGTAGCTTTCCAAAACCGTACGATGGCTGTTATGAAAGGGAAGCAGAACTAATTAGTTCTACTAAATAATAGACTCTATTATGCTACAGAAATCTATTATGTGGACACCATTCTCAAAGAAACGGTAGCTATAACTCAACGCGTAAAACACGTCTACCAGCTTGTGGCCTTTACAGACCACAATGCAGAAATCTATTGTGTGTATTATTGTACTGTACTCATAGAAATAATGCGTGTACCTAAATGAGTTACACTAGAGTACCAGCTTGGTGGAGAAGGCTTATATAGACTGCGATGCAGAAATTTATTGTGTGTTAACTGTATTCATAAAAATAATAGATATAACTCAATGAGTAACGCTAGAGTATAGGCTTGGTGGAGAAGGCCTTAAAAACTGTAATGCAGAAATCTATTGCGTGTATAGTATAGTATTTCTATGAGTACAGACTCATAGAAATAATAGGTGTAATAGGTGTACCTCAATGAGTTACACTAGAGTATCAGCTTGGTAGATGAAGCCTATACAGACCACAATGCTGAAATCTATTGTGTGTGTATTGTACTCATAGAAATAATAGGTGTACCTCAATGAGTTACAATGGAGTATCAGCTTGGTGGATAAATCCTATACAGACCACAATGCTGAAATCTATTGTGTGTGTATATTGTACTCATAGAAATAATAGGAGTACGTCAATGAGTTACACTGGAGAATCAGCTTGGTGGATAAAGCCTATGTAGACCACAATGCTGAAATCTATTGTGAGTTTACTGTACACATAGAAATAATAGATATAACTCAATGAGTAACGCTAGAGTATAGGCTTGGTGGAGAAGGCCTTAAAAACTGTAATGCAGAAATCTATTGTGTGTATACTGTACTGATAGAAATAATAGGTGTAATAGGTGTACCTCAATGAGTTACACTAGAGTATCAGTGGATAAATCGTATGTAGACTGGGTTGCAGAAGTCTATTGTATGTTTACTATACACATAGAAATAATAGGTGTACCTCAATTGGCAATACTGCTTGGTAGAGGAGGCTAATGCAAACTGTGATACAGAAATCTATTATATAGGCGTCGTATTCATAAAAAGAATAGGTACAGTTTGGTAGAGGACACCTATATAGGACTTATACAGTATTCCATAGCTTGAGTACTGTACTCAGAGGAACGAGGCAACCTGCTTGATCGAGGAAGCCTATATAAATTGCAAAACAGAATATTAGCTATATATATGCACTTATAGGTATATTAGCTATATTTCAATGAGAGTACCACTTGTCCACCAGCTTGGTACAGAAAGTAAATATTTTTGATGAAGTAATAATTGAATGCCATATTCATATTATTCATATAGATTTGAAACTGTAATAAAAGTAAATAAGTTGAATGTAAAACGATATATGAGAAAAGATAGACTGAACTTTGAGAAGCAGCGATTTAGAAGGACTCGCATTTTCGTAAAGAAAATATATACTATGTGTTTTCAAGCATAAGAGAAGAAAACGGACTTGAGTTTTCTTTTTGAAACAAATCCAAGAACTAAAAAATATCGCTTTAATTTAAATTCAGTCTTAAATTTCCGATCCAAAGCTATTCTAATCGTCTGTAGATTATTGATTAAACAAAATTAATAAACCGACAATAGAGTCCAAAAATTCTTAAATTAAAAAACTTCATCAAATTTTTTTCATTCTGCTTGAAAAAATATTTTAATTTTAATTTTAATTTAACTTCTTAATTTACTTTTAGCTAACACTCAGCGTGTGAAACTGTCCTACCGACCAGCACGTAATAATCCATTGGATTTGTATGTGTTAATGGACTTAACGTGGACCATGCGTGATGATAAAGAAACCCTTGTCAAATTAGGCGCAGAACTCAGTGAAACATTAGGTACGCTTACCGATAACTTTCGTTTGGGTTTTGGCAGTTTTGCTGATAAACCAGCCATGCCAATGATTATGCCAGATTTGAGCAGTAATCCTTGTGCATCTGAGCATGAGGTCTGCGAACCGACATATGGCTATCGGCACCATTTGGCGCTCACATCTGATGTTAGTTCATTTGTAAAATCGGTGAATGAGAGTCGTATAACAGGCAATTTAGATAATTTGGAGGGTGGCTTGGATGCGCTAATGCAAGTGATTGTTTGTCCAGCAGAGATTGGCTGGAAGGATGAGGCACGTAGAATGGTCATACTTGTAACAGATGGTTTTATGCATTTCGCTGGAGATGGGTTGCTAGCGGGTATAACTCAACCTAATAATAAACAATGTAATTTAAGTAAGACCGGTGAATATTTGGGCACGTTGACTTATGATTATCCTTCGTTGGAAGAGATCTATCGTGAATTATTGCGGCGTAAAATTAATGTCATATTCGCTGTTACCGCTGGTGTGGTGAGTACTTATCACGAGCTAAGTGGTTTAATGAAAGAGATTAGTAATGTCGAAATTTTAAGTACTGATTCTTCAAATATATTAGAACTCATTAAAAGAAGGTAAAATTTGTCAAATTTTTTTTGTGAAATTTTTAATAAACCTATTTTTTGTCCTCTTAGTTATGAAAGTTTCATTAAGCGCGCACAATTCACTGACAACAGTCCTTCATTTATTAAACTTGCATACGAGACAGATTGTGGTGGACAATATGATCGATTGAGACAGCGGAATTATTGCAATAATGTACAAATGGGAACTCAAGTTGATTTTTATGTGAATATTACGTTAATTGATTTTCCAAAGGATGGCGTATATGTAAGTCTCTCTTCTCTCTTCTCTTTTCTATTCACTCAACTTATCTACTCTTTACCGATAACTGTATTACTTTACTTAACTTAATACAGACTCACAAAATACGCATTGAGGAATCTAGCTTGACGGAATATCTTGAAATCGAATTGGAAATACAAAAACCGTGTCCTTGTAATGAAGAATCGGTGCCCGATGATGAATATGGACGATTTCAATGCACCGAAAATGGTTATTTACAGTGTGGCATGTGTCAATGTGACGAGGGTTGGTATGTTACATGAAATCTGTTTCTACAGCTTCAGCACATCAAGTTATCATTTCAATATTAACAGGACTGGCACGTTTTGTAGTTGTTCCACTCAGGGCACAAACACCACGACTAATGAGGCTATAGAAATGAGTTGTCGGGAACCGAATTTGGATAATAAAGCTGAACTAAATCCAGTCTGTTGGAATCGTGGTGAATGCGACTGTGGTACTTGCTTATGCCTGCCTGGTTTCATGGGCCCGTACTGTGAATGTCTTGAATGCGATGTGAACTGTGATCCTGATCGCGCTGATTGTATTTGTGGTAAATGTGTATGCAAATATGGTTGGTCTGGAACACGTTGCAATTGCAAAGAATCTTTTGATGGCTGTATTGGTCCTACTGGTGAAATTTGTTCTGCGCGTGGTTCCTGCCTATGCGGCACTTGTGAGTGCTACGATTCATATCGAGGCAATTTCTGCGAGATCGACAGTGAAACAGAAAATAAGTTATGTACTTTTTATGAACCATGCGTAACTTGTTTGATCGAACAAAAACTAGGTACGGCGGTATGTCAGAATATAAGTGAAATTTGTTCGAGTCAAAACGAAAATGAACGTTTCACTTACGCTTTCATCACAGAGGAAATTGGTAAGAAGACTACTGTAAAAATTTAAAAATATGTATTTTTATTATTGTATTCTATATATTATTCTTTATTCAGATAGTGACGTTCGTTGCTTGGCTCGAATTGAAAATCAACATGGGATCAAGTGTGATCACTTCTTCACATATCAAAGTTTGGGTCAGTCAGAAAACTACTTACTGATTCAGGCCAATCAGTGTGAACCAGTAAATAAGGTAGCATTCATTGGTTTCATATCGGTAGCCACATTTCTTCTCGGATTCCTCATAATTTTATTGGCTTGGATGTGTATAAAAGCAAAAGATGCTAGAGAGTATGCGCGTTTTGAGGAAAATCAACGCAATAGTGTTCTTATGGAAAGTCCAATCTACAAAGATCCAATTACACGCTACGAAGTACCCAAAGTCTTAAAACAAAGCAATAGCAACCCCTTTTTGGATTAGTCTAGTTTAAGTTAGTTTTGACATTATTTAATAATTTTAGTTTATACGACATGACAGTAAAAAGTTACAGTTCCAAGGGGAACTATAACATTCGAATTAGTTTTTTCATGAGCATTACTTTTTAAGCAATATAATAGTTTTTACTTTAGTGTATAATTTTGTTTATATATAGAAAAATTGTTATTAATTTTATTTTAGATTCTAAAGTTTTAAATGAAATAGTAAACCACACTGTCCTGTCTTTTCCATGATAAAGTCTAAAGTAAACATGACTCTTTAACAATAAATATTTGTAGTGCCATCTATTTGCATTTACATCTATTAGTCGAACTTTTATCGAAGTATTTCAATTGGTAAATCAGGTGTATATCTATGTGATTTGTGCCTCACTTGTATTGTAAGTTTCAAATAAAACTTGAATGGTATGCCTATTGTGTTAAACTGTTTGAGAAGTAAAATTAGACATCAGCCTTTGAAATTTGTAGAATGGACGGATATAGATACAAAAATGTATACCAGATGACATTAATGCTGTGTTTTTTTTTCTTCTCAATGTGATGTTTAAAGTAGAGTTATACTACTTGTAGCTATAATATTATAATGCAAAAATTTCTAACGTACACTCATATATTTAAGTTTGCACAATGAGCTCCTTTTCTAAAAACTATCGTTATACAAATTCATCTTTTTCAATTGACAGTATGTTTCTAGCTTATCTTTCTTCGGAAGTGAAAATTATTTCCCCATACCTCCAGTAAGTATACCTTCACTCCTCTTACTGATTCAATGAGTAATTTAAGAATAGTGAGAAGTGCAATGGCAATATTTAGCACTACTCACGTTTGTATCTTAAGATAGTTAAAAATTTTTCGCCCATCTAAAGAATGACGACTTCAAAACAATCTATGAAGATACTTCAAATAAATTCAGTAAAGTTTCTTCGTTGTTTCAAAATAATGGATCCAACACCAAATACTTGAGAAAAAGAAACAATCAAGACAATGAACTTCATTAAGTGAATAAGCATAAGCTGTGAAGTTGGCCTTAAAACTGTTGGTTGTAATTTTAAGTATACAAACGTAGGATCCATCGATCAATGGATATCATTTTTTTTATATTGAATTTATTTTCTTTTATTGCGATTTGTCACTTAAGAATAGACAATGAACAATATTTAAGAGTTAGTGACTAAATACTTAAAGTTTTTGTAGGCTTGAATGGACTGTACATAGTAACACATCGATCTGTTGAAGTCAGAGATAGCTACGTAGTCTTTTTCGACCATTTCATTAATAGCAAATGAAGAACCTGCTGCTTTAAATTTAACTTCCGTTCTCAACAAACATATTTACTACATTTTATCCTCTATCACTATCTTCTTTCTCTAAACTTGAAGAAATATATTAAAGGAAACGTAGTTTTTCTGAAAGAGTAACTCATCGGATATACATAGACATAGACTTATTTAGAAATATTGGATATATGATCAGGTGGTTTAAAATATTCGAAAATTCTTTGGATTAATTATATAGACTTAGAAAAAGACTATGGACAGAAATAAAAATAAATTAAACAAACCAAATGTGGTTTATTTTGATTTAATTACTTATGAGTAATCCTTGTAATAGCCTAAGGTTTATCAAACATAGACATCGATTGAGATTAACGATTACGTTAAAACATCATCTGTACGATTACAATTTGAAGCGCATTTAAGCTTTAGTTTAACCAAAGAATCTATAGTACAAAATTCCCTGTTTGCTATTGTTATGAATTGTAGTGTAAAAACACATTACAAATTTATTTATGTCTCAAATCTGATTTTTTCCATTCTATGAAGCTTTATTCTTAAATGTTGTCCATGCGCAATATTTCCGAAACAATATCGTAAACACCAATTTTAACATTTCAATCCGGTGTAAATAGCATTCATGCGTTTCCTCAAATCAGGAGGCATTATTAGTGGTTTTAGTGACTTCTACACATTTTTTTATCATAATTTTTCTTACATTTCTAATATTTTTAATTTTTTTAAAATGCTTTTTAAACACTTTTATATGAATTTTGCAAATATTTTTTAAAATAATTACAAAAAGTCACCAAAAACTCAAACTATTAAGAAGTAGTTCCTTTTGAGGTAAAATATATGCACAAATGTGCAATAAAAACATACATATTAATATACTGCAGACTTAATGTCTCCAATATCACATTTGTACATACATAATGGTTTTTGTAGTGCATCATTTGTTGCAATAAAAAAAATAATAAATTCTATTACTCTTTACTCCTATGATATGGGCCTTTCCAGTACAATAAGCTAAAGCAACAAAGTATATCGAAAAATTATTTGAGGGATTTCTTTACCATTCACTTCGTTACCAATCCATGTATATGAATTAAATAGACAAATAAAAACAAGAAAGGCAAAAGAAACAGGCATATAAAAACAATTGTGGGTTGCAATGAGTTTGAACTGAACAACATACCAGTTGTGACTCGATCGAACATTGTTGCATGAGGTTGGGTGGATTTATTATAAATCCACCAGCAAAATAAAGTGGGTATTTCATTTGTATGAGCGTGGCACTTCTTTGTACTATAGATTCTTTGGTTTAACCAAAGAATCTATAGTACAAAGAAGTGCCACGCTCATACAAACGAAATACCCACTTTATTTTGCTGGTGGATTTATAATAAATCCACCCAACCTCATGCAACAATGTTCGATCGAGTCACAACTGGTATGATGTCCATTTTAAACCTATATGTGAGTCGAGTAAGGCTGACAAAAGCCCGACTGCATTCGTATTCAATCATACATGCAACCCTCTGTATTATATTATACGCATGTTTGTATGTTTGTTCGCTGTAAAATGTTCAAACGATCAAACAGCATTTCAGTGACGAAGTCAAAATTGTGTACGTTTGATAAGTTTTTGAATTTGATAGCATATGAAACAAAATTACCTGTTTGATATTGTTATGAATTGTAGTGTAAAAACACATTACAAATTTAATTATGTCTCAAATCTGATTTTTTCCTTTTTCTGACTTTTCCAATTTTAACATTTCAATCCTTTGTAAATAGCATTTATGCGCTTCCTCAAACCAGGAAGCATTATTAGTGGTTTTAGTGACTTCTATACATTTTTTCAATATAATTTTTCTTTTCTAATATTTTTATTTTCTTTAAAATACTTTTAAAACACTTTTATATGAATCTTAAAAACATTTTTTAAAATAATCACAAAAAGTTACCAAAAATTCAAACTATTAAGAAGTAGTTCCTTTTGAGGTAAAATATATGCACAAATGTGCAATAAAAGCATACATATTAATATACTGTAGACTTCATGTCTCCAATATCACATTTGTACATACATAATGGTTTTTGTAGTGCATCATTTGTTGCAATAAAAAAAATAATATATTCTATTACTCTTTACTCTTATGATATGGGCCTTTCCAGTACAAGAAGATAAAGCAACAAAGTATATCGAAAAATTATTTGAGGGATTTCTTTACCATTCACTTCGTTACTAATCCATGTATATTAATTAAATAGACAAATAAAAACAAGAAAGGCAAAAGAAACAGGCGTATAAAAACAATTGTGGGTAGCAATGAGTTTGAACTGAACATCATACCAGTTGTGACTCGATCGAACATTGTTGCATGAGGTTGGGTGGATTTATTATAAATCCACCAGCAAAATAAAGTGGGTATTTCGTTTGTATAAGCGTGGCACTTCTTTGTACTATAGATTCTTTGGTTTAACCAAAGAATCTATAGTACAAAGAAGTGCCACGCTCATACAAACGAAATACCCACTTTATTTTGCTGGTGGATTTATAATAAATCCACCCAACCTCATGCAACAATGTTCGATCGAGTCACAACTGGTATGATGTTCAGTTCAAACTCATTGCAACCCACAATTGTTTTTATACGCCTGTTTCTTTTGCCTTTCTTGTTTTTATTTGTCTATTTAATTAATATACATGGATTAGTAACGAAGTGAATGGTAAAGAAATCCCTCAAATAATTTTTCGATATACTTTGTTGCTTTATCTTCTTGTACTGGAAAGGCCCATATCATAGGAGTAAAGAGTAATAGACTATATTATTTTTTTTATTGCAAAAAATGATGCACTACAAAAACCATTATGTATGTACAAATGTGATATTGGAGACATGAAGTCTACAGTATATTAATATGTATGTTTTTATTGCACATTTGTGCATATATTTTACGTCAACAGGAACTACTTCTTAATAGTTTGAATTTTTAATGACTTTTTGTAATTATTTTAAAAAATATTTGCAAGATTCATATAAAAGTGTTTGAAAAGTATTTTAAAAAAAATAAAAATATTAGAAATGTAAGAAAAATTATGATGAAAAAATGTGTAAAAGTCACTAAAACCACTAATAATGCCTCCTGATTTGAGGAAACGCATGAATGCTATTTACACCGGATTGAAATGTTAAAATTGGTGTTTACGATATTGCTTCGGAAATATTGCGCATGGACAATATTTAAGAATAAAGCTTCATAGAATTGAAGAAATCAGATGTGAGACATAAATAAATTTGTAATGTATTTTAACACTACAATTCATACCAATAGTAATTTTGTTTTTGTTTTATACTATTCAATTCAAAAACTTATCAAATGTACACAATTTTGACTTCGTCACTGAAATGCTGTTTGATCGCTTGAACATTTTACAGCGAACAAACATACAAACATGCATATAATGTAATACAGAGGGTTGCATGTATGATTGAATACGTATGCAGTAAAGGTTTTTGTCAGCCTTACTCGGCTCAAATATAGGTTTGAACTGAACATCATACCAGTTGTGACTCGATCGAACATTGTTGCATGAGGTTGGGTGGATTTATTATAAATCCACCAGCAAAATAAAGTGGGTATTTCGTTTGTATGAGCGTGGCACTTCTTTGTACTATAGATTCTTTGGTTTAACTATACAATTATCTGTGAAAAAAGAATCGGGGTCTTCGTGTTCAATTCGTTCAGTCGTTGATTCAACAAGTTAAGTTTTTCATCCAATTTTAATGTTTTTTATTTGGACACAAGCCCTGAAATAGTGCCCACATCAACAACAGAACGAAACATTCATGGAAGTATACATGACATGTTGTGCATTCAGTGGGATCAAAAAATAGTATATGGACTGCTGAAACTGAAGGAAATTGTTATTGGTAAATGTTGTGACCAACCATTGTTGCATTTGAACCATAAATTTAGCGTAAAACATGGGTTTCCAGCCAACAAACAATGTAAATTGATCTTAATAGACGACAATGCTCGACCATATATCACAAGACAATAAAAAAAAATACATTTAAATCATTTAAGTGGGATATACTACCGCATGATCTCCATTCACTAGATTCTACTTCATGAGATTACTACTTCCACTTACTACTTGAAGAAACTAAAATATGGTTTAGGGAATGAATCGTATCAAGAGATCAACAATTTTTTGAAATCCAGGTTATCCGAAATTCGATAACTTAAGTTAACATTTCGATCATTATGCATATTATATGATATACTATTTTTTCAAGAAGTGAAGAAATTTATATAAGGTTTGTCTAAATAAATTAAATTAATAAACGTTTCTTAACTCGATTTATAATCTTATACCATTTATTATGAGAAATGATTTTGGATCGCCGAGATGAAAGTGTCTAAGTAGTTGTTGGACTTATTTGCACGATTTCAAGCATCCAATAGAAACTATTTCAACTAGTTAAGGTTCCACTTTTTTTGCTTCCAGGTTATCACGTAGTTGTTAGGTTCATTTCTATAAACTATTTTGGCGTCTAACATTTCCTTCAACAGGATATAACATTATTCTGTTAAAACCCAGGACGTTCTAGATTATGTTTACGTACATTATACTAAGAACTCATTAAGTATAGCTCTGCACTTTATTTCTCCTTCATTATGTGGAATATCATTTTAGTGATTTCCACTGGATTCTCTAGAGTTGTTTATTGATGAAGTCATTGAAATATGAGAAGTGAAGTTCATGGCTTTACAAAATTTTGAGGTTAAAAAGTGGATAGATTTTTTATTGTTGGAATGTCCGCTCGAAGAAGTCGTGCTGTAATTTGTGATGTTTGTATGATGTTGTGACATTAATTATATATCTTTTTTTTGCTGTTCGGTACAAATTTAGAGCTGGGTTGCAAGAAAACTTCGTTGCATAAACTTACTGGTACACAAACTGGTTTTCTCTTGGTAGTGGGTTTCTTTCATATAAACGCTCAATGCATGGAGTTAATATAAGGCAACATTTTCAAAATGATTATAAAATGAACAGCTATAAAGAAATGTCACGTGATTTTAAAAACAGGGTTGGTAGAAAGTAATAGTTGAGCTGGACTATATAAATGTTGAATTAAAAGACCACTTTTTTGGAAATATTTTTATATTTATATTATATTTTGTTTTTTTTTTTATACATTTTGATTACATTTTTTTTTTTTTTGGTTTTGATTTTTTCAAATAAAAAACATTAAAAAAGAATTTATGCTAGCCTAAAAAGTGTATTATTTTAATTCTTATTGTTTTATACTTTTTATATGTAAATATCGTGTAAAAATTGAAAAATACGTAGCAAATTTAAAGATTTTCTAACTACTTTATTCCTTTAATAATTTTGTAATATTTTGTAGTTCAAGGAGAGTAACCAACGTGGTAGTTCATCCCGTAAAAAATTCATTATTTTAAATTTATTAATTATTTATTTATTTATATATATATTATTGTACTCAATTTAATATGCAAAAATTAGGAAAAATTGAATTGATTACATTCTAGAATATACGGTAAAAAATTTATTTAAAATAATTTTTTGATTGCTTAAATAGTTTCGATGCGATTTACTTTGATTCTATATATATCTCTTTTGTCCTGTGACAAAAAGGACGATTTGTGACAATTTCTGTTCAACAATTACAATTACATATTATGATGAATAAAATTACATTTAACTAAACTTACACCAAAATATAATATTTAAGTATAATATTGCTTTGTTTAAACAAAATTACAACATTAAGTTTGTGCGCCCCATTTAATGTTAAACAAGAGAACTAAATACGCTTTTGTGCTACAATAAAACCTAAGACTAACAACGAAAAATATTAATTCAAAAAATAAAAATAAAAACAAAAATAAAAAGAATAATAATAATGTTAATAATAATAATAATACAAATACTAATAATATCACTAGAAGAATTCATAAAATTATGCGCTTAAATTAAATTAAACGCGATTAATAGCAGTTAATAAAAAAATTACGAAGGGAAAATGTGGTTTTACGTTGCATACTGGTATGAGGCCACACCCATCCTGGTACGCACCGCACTTCGCACTCCGCTAAGAGTAGCAATTAAAAATACCAAAAACACAAATTAACTTAAAAACGAAGATGATCAACGACTCTCAAAGAACTCGTTCGCCGAGAGAAGGTGTTCGTTGCACGAGTAGAGAGGCCGTCTTTGGTAGTGACTCGCCGAAGTCGTTGCTTAAGTCAACACACTTCGTAACGCTGGATATTGTGGGATTTATTGATTTCACAGGAATATTAGCATTGGAGTCGGTATCTGTGGTTGTGGGCATGGCTGTAGTTGTTTTTAGATTTGTTTTTGGTGCTGCTTTATTTGGTTTTTGTGCAATGGCATGTGGTGCTGCATCAGGTACAAGACGGCGTAATAGCCCGGCAATACAACCCCATGGGAAAGTCCTAAAAATAAAATATAGTTAAGGGAAGGTTATAGTTATTATATATAAAAAATTACTTACCATTTGAGTGAGAGTAAAAATTTGATATAACCTGGAATAACTGCAATTTTTTCATTTTTCTTAATGGCTGATATGACACGATCTGCTACATCATTGGGATTAAGTGTGGGTACCCATCTGTAAGTAAAGTAAATATTTTTTTTTGTAAAATATACATTTTAATAAATCTATATTTAATAACACATATAACATAAAATAGAATACACGGGATACTATTTCCAAACAAAGCAGAGCATTGTCGTCAACCATGGTTGACCGATCTTTTGTACTGCAGACAAGTAATATAGGATTTGTCATAGGAAATATGTATGAAATATGTACATACAATATGTATGTATGTTTTTCTTTACGTTATAAATTGTATTTAGTTATATAGAAAATTTACAATTTTAGGGGATCTATAATATTTTGAGGAACTTGGTGAGCGTCAAGACGTCCTTGTAAAAGACTTTGGCATATTTACCTTTACCAAAGGTTCAAGGAGATTTTTAAGTCTCTGACTTTCTTGCCAATAGCTCTAAGTGGATCTTTGGAATTACCGATATAACTTAACCTATATTGAATAAAAGATTGAGAGTTTTAATATTCAAATAACTTCGTTTCTCCTATCTTTATAAGTTATATTATATATAATTAAAGAAAAGTATATTTATATATATCAAAAAAAAAAAATATTTAAAAAAAAAGATTTGACGAATGAAAAGCAAACAGAATATAATAACCAAAAATAAGAAGAAGGAACTAATTGTGTCTTTCTTTAATGACAAGATCTCTATAAGCAAGAGGCTATAAGATATTGCCAGTTTGCATTATTCAACGAAATCTCAAATTCGTCTGGAAGTAGTTCACTTTTATCCCAATAACAGTGGTATTTTTTTATGTTTTGGACTATAAGACATCGTTCCAAAGATTGGATGATATCGTCTTTTGGTTTTTAAAAAGGATGTATTATTAAGGAGTTTCTTACATTTTCTATGAAGCAGTCATATGAAAAATTATTAAAAGCGGTTATATATATTGCCTATAATAGGCAATATATATTTGTGTTTCCGAGAAATTGGATAATGCTATCGATATACATTGAACTTTTTGTTTAAGACCAAACTATATTGATATTCTTACTCTTAACCCCTATGGTATATTATGCTATCAAACACTATTCAAAGATCAATTACGTACGCATCAGAAACTATATGTGGGACTTAGGTAGTAAAATAGATTCGGTTACGCATTCTACACCCAAATTAAGGATCTTCAAACGTTGGTAATTATGAATTTTATATAAATATGCGGGTTTCAGGTAATGAAATGTACACCTAAAGCACATCTAAAAAAAATAAATATATATATATTTCAAATATTAATCAGAAACTATAAAAATCGCATAGTGATTGCCACAAGCGACTGCTTAAATTGCTTTTAAGCTGAGAACAATTCACAAAAATTATAACATATTTACTATCGTATAATAGTATCCAGTACAAATGTTTAAAGAGAGATAAGCACACTTAAGATTAGATGGAATAATTTTTTTTATACAGATACATTTCTGTGAAGGTTAGATGGAAGGGCTATTTACCAAAGAATTACCAAAAAAAGTGATTTTAAGAGAAGGGTACTGGAAGCTTAAATATAATTGATAAAATTGATTGATAGGAATTATTTTCGCAGGATAATAAATTCTCATGTCCAGATAATATTATGACAACGAAACACAGACAGGGAAGGTTCTAAGAACGAGCAGTTCTATGCCTCAAAGGCATTCGGTTTTATTGACGATAAGGCGCTGTTCTAACCCCCTAACTGCACTATAACAGAGTTTATATATTATAAACTTTCGAAAGATTAAAAAAAAAACAGTATCAGTATAAATCAAATCACCACGTTTTACTATAATTTGAATATTTTCAAAATATAATTTAAAAGTTAATCTTGTCTGATATTAATTTGATACTTGCCTCAAAATGCTTATACTTCAGTTCCTTTCCTAATATATTCTTATCTTATATTACCAATGCTTAAAACGCTTTTACTCCAGTTTTTTTCCTAAAATATCATTATCTTATATTACCAATGGACTAAGACTCTAATGACACTAAGGACATTGAGCGCTTTATTAAAGCATTAAATTAATTTCTTGTTATACAATAGGTAAGCCTATTAATAAAAACTACCTACGCAAATTAGTGAGCAAGTATTTGTTATTTAGAAATACTGTAGAGATAACAGTGAAGACACTTAGAAAGGTACATTTATAGTAACATAGATAATTCACTTATAGTCTACATCTGATAAAATATATCCAAAGTTTCATTGTATGGTATTGCTCCATTAAGGATCTGGAAATTACTTTAATAACAAAATAAATTCAAAAATTTACAGGAGATATTTAGAAAAGCTAGACTGGTATCCCAACGAGCCAGCTGTAAGTCTTTTAGACAATACCTTGTATGCAAAAAAGGTTGGAGACATCTTAGGTTTTGTAAAGAGTTAAGATATAATATATTATTACTTCATTAATATTAATTAAAATAGATAGCTAAGTATATTCAATATATATCTACATATATATCTATATATATATATATATATATATATATATATATATATATATACATATTTTGAATAAATATAAATATATATAAAAATATGCTAAAGAGATGCTAATATGCTAATGTTTTGAATAGAACTATAAAGTAATATATATGTTAAACTTATTAGTGTAGATCAGATATTCACATATATATATATATATATATATTATAATATAACAGTGTTTTAATAGAACCGTTTCAATGTGTTGGTATGTTTATAATAAAAATTTTTCCAAAAATTATAAATAAACTTTTTTAATATATTTATTAGAAAATTTAAATTTAAATTTATTTATAATTTAATATAATTATAATAAAAGAAACATGCATTTTTTTATGTGGCTGTATCTGGACAAAAAGTTAACTGCACTTAATTATGGTAACCTATCAAATTACTAGATTCTTTAAATAAGCCCAATTATTGCTAAAATAAGTTTACCTTCAGTTCTCTAATATACTTTTCTTTATACAATATTACACAATAAATTTTTTGTTAAATTTTTTTCTGTTTAAATGTGAATTACAATTTTGCTTTGAAAGAGGTCGTTCACATTGCAAAAACTCACTTCAAAAATATAGAAAAAATAACGTCCATAAATAAAGTGCAAATTCAATTGAACAAAAGTACATATATTAGTAAAAATGTGCAGTATTTAACCATGCGCTACTTGCCAATAGATGTGATTAACGTTTTCGCATATTAAGTGTTAATTGTAGTGCTGCAGCCAAGCATTAAACTGACAATACCATATCTAACGACAATGACAGACTAACAATACCAGATACGTATAATCGCGCGGTCTAAATTTTGAATTTTGGTGCGCCGAGTTAATATCACACTAAACATTGGTTTAATCGTAGCTTGTAAACTTACCTTGCATTCACATCATCAAACATGCCTGTGGCTTGTATGAAGAACGGGCAAATGCACGTGGTCTGTATATTGTTGTGACCGAGAACGTCTAGTTCTAAACGCAGAGCTTCGTCGAAACCAACCTGCAAATATAAACTAGTTTATTTTCTGTTCAAATAATTTTTTTAGTAATTTTTTTTTCTTTGGTTTAATGTGGCTACTTACCGCTGCAAATTTACTGGCGCAATAGTCGATTAATTTGGTAATACCAACATGTCCCGCCAGTGAGGCGATTGTGGCAATATGACCGCGATCATTTTCAATCATTTTTGGTAGAAATGCTTTGGTTGTCTGAAATGCATTAAATCAAACAGGAAAAAAATATAAAATTGCATTAAATAAATTTATTAAAAGTAGTAAGAAAATTTGAGTAATAATTTTTGCACCTACCCAGAAGTGGGCCATAATGTTCACATTGAAGGAACGTTCGATTAGATGGTCTGGTGTGTCCAGTAAATGCAGCCCAGACACGACTCCGGCATTATTGATCAAGAGAGTCACCTATAATAAATAAGAAAATAAAAAAATTTTAATTGAGTTTTAATTAATAATTTGTGCCTCTGACTGAGTCAGAAGAATTCAGAGCATAAAATTGTGCAACTTCACATGAAAATATATCTGTCAATTACATATTTTTTTAAGCTAAATATATTACAAGATATTTTAACGAATTTGTTTTTTTTTTTTTTTCAAAAAATACTTCTAGTTATGTGTGAAAATCTGGTTAATTTGTAAATAGTCCGGTTTGGGTTTGGATGCGAAAATTGGTTAATGCTTGTTGGTTGGCCTATATTTTAACTACAAGTGTTGCAATATCAAAAAATATCAAAAAAAAAAAGGTGCGTACTTGCAACTGCCATCAGTTGCAAGTAAGTATTTTTATCGCTGAAAAAAGTAATTAAAATGTAAATTTAAATAAGTTTCGAAAGAAATCTCTGCTATGATAAAATAAAAATCACTATGAGAGCTTGTTTTCCTAAGCCTTTCAACACTTACACTTACTTATATATATAGTTAATGGAACAAATTATTTAAGTACAAAATTTTAAAAAATAATTATTTAATCGATTGCCAGATTTGTTAAACATATTAGTTAATGGTATCTATTTATTAAATTTGAAGATTAAAGTAATAAATATTCAAATTTAAAATGCATTTTTATAAAAAAATATGAATTCAATTTAAAACATTTTTTTTTAATTACACATCTCACGCATGATTTTATCTACAAAAAGTTTCTATTATAATTGACAGCTAATTGGACTTAACTAAGTACTCCGTATGCATGAAAAACCACAACAAATCTTTAAGTTCGTAGTGTAATATTGCTCCAACATAATAATAAAAAAAGGGGGAGGAGGAGGAGGAGAACATTTATCTTATATATTCATTAAATTTATTTAAATAATTATAGTCAGTAGAGAAAATGTATACATAGACTTATTTTCCACTTACTTTATTTTTAAGATACATAATATATAATGGCATCAAATGAAAATTACTTGTTAGTTCTCTTATAACTTTTAATAAAACAAACTAATATAAAATGAAAAAAAAAAAAAATTTTTTAAAAGTTATACTATATACTATATAAAGCCATTATACTATTAAGTATTACTTCAAAAATGCACTTCATAGATAATCCCATAAAGATTTTTTGCAGGATTCGGGGGCAATCTACTAACTAGTCTCATTTTATTAGCTATTTTTTAGAGAGGTTTCGAAAGATATTAAACTACAATAACAACAACAACTGTTTTATATAATTTCAATTAATTGAATTTTGGACTGAACATACAGCTGTTTCGAGTACTGCCAAATACCCAACTCAATGGTCTTAAATTTATATCTTAATATATATTTAATTATTCGTATATGCAAATTTAGCAGTCTTAACTTTGTACCATAGAAACTAATTTGATCATTCAAAAGAATGCTAGTAGGATCTTACCTGGACGGCTTGCGACTATTTACCTGGACTATTTATTTAGATTTAATAGTAAAGTTTGAAAAAGTTTCTAAATATTTATATCTGAGTTGGTTTTTTGGGATGGTATGATTTTTGCTACTAATATCAAATATATTAAAAATAATTTCACTCTATCTTTATATAATTTATGTCTTATTTGGGGACAGCATAGAATAAGTTTTCAGAAATCTAACCATTTGCTACAATTTAAAAGTATATATATTTTTATTAAACGTTTATAAATTTATTATTTTAATCACAAATTACAAATTTTCCGAGTATATACACAGACATGGCTCATTGTAAAACAATTATTATGGTTTATATTAATAGGAAGTCTTCAAATACAATTAATAGAATGTTTTTAAAACCAGTTATAGAAAACTTACTGAGAAGTTGCTGAGGATTAAAAGTATTTACAAGAATTTTAATCTTTATTATAGCACTTTTTCTGTACAAAGAAAAGTACCCGGCCAACTCTTGTTTCTTTATGGGGAGTTCTCCGAAGAGATTTGAACCTCTTCTAAATAATTGAATTGTAGAGCATTGTTTTCTCTTTGTAGAGCAAAAAAAAAAAAATTTTTTTGAAGAAACTTCGCCAAATCTACGGGTCGAACCAAATTGATGCAGAAACTTTTCAAAGACGAACAAATAATGAAATTGAAGAACTGCTTAGAAACGAAAATATAGTGAGATACATTAAGTCGCAAAGGTTACAATGGGCTGCTCATGTAATAACGATGGGGTCGGAGTATATTTAACGCAAAGGCGATGACAACCAGGCACAGAGGTAGGCCAAGAACAAAATGGGATGAGAACGTGTATGGTGATGCAAGAACGTTTGGAGTACTGAACTAGAAGAGAGTAGCAGAAGATAGGGACAGATGGACGCAGATCGTGCGGGAGGCCAAGGTTCATACTGGACTGTAGTGCCAAATAAGAAGAAGAGCATTTTTTCAACTGCAGCAGAATAACACTTCACTAAAAAAGGTAGTTGTAATTATGAGCTATAGTTATGTAGGCAGTTCAGCTAGTGTGGACCAAATTAATTTAAATTAATTTCTCGATATAAGAAAAAAGTTCATCTAACAGTTCAATTATGTTAAATGTCGTAGTTGAAAAAAAAAGATGTGAAAGATGTGAAAATATTTTATATTGAGCTTAATATACATTAAAAAAAAGGTTATTCTGTTGTTTTTCTTGGAATATTAATTTAATGGTACTCTGGTGCGTATGAGTGACGTGTAGGAGGCCTGATATATTAAATTTTTTTAATTACTTCTAAAAGCAATATCACATTGGAAATATTTATTTTTTAAGTAGAATTTATTGATTAATCTAAATAAAAAGTAAAAAAAAAATTTGTGTGACATATGTGTTTGGTCTGATGTGAAGGATAAATCAGATTTTTTAAAAATACTTCTAATGACAATACCGTCCTGAAATTTTTGAGTTTTATGTAGAATTTTATTACTAATTAAAATCAATAATATTATATAAAAATATTTGTGGCATATTTATTGAAAATTCTTTCAATGAAAATACAGTACGCATGTGCTTGATGTGTTTTGCGGAGGAAAAAAAAAATTTTAAAAATTTTAAAAAATGAAGCCATCCTGAAAATTTTTATATCTCATTAAAATTTAAAATCAAATTTAAATAAAATATAAAAAATGAAAATTTTGAGGATACATTTGGAAAAAAATTTATTTTTGAAATTGAACACTTAATATTAGTACTTAAATATAAACAATCTTAATTGTTTAAAGAATTTCTTGAAAGTTCAAGCAATTATCAGTAAAACGCAATAAATTTTAAGTTTCTATCATTTATATAGTCTGAGATATGGCTATTTGAAAATGTGTTTACAATGGCAATTCTCAAAATCCCATGGATTCATATTTCCCAGAAAAAAAATTACAAAATTTCATGAAAGAAGATTATTAAAAAAAATTTTCAGTCAAATCGGAGATCATGTGGATATTTTTTGTCAAAATTCGTCCGGTTTGTAAAAGAATGACCCATATACATAATTATTGTATGTATACACCTACTTATTGTATGTATATACATACAGTGTTACCGTAGTACTGAGTAAGTCACATCTTACTTGAAGCAGCTGACTGGTACGTTTGGAAATCTGACAAAAGGGTCTATTCCAAAAAGACCTAATCTTACTTCACAATGCTCAGAAATTTTTGTTTAATTACCAGTTTAACTGTTGTAAGTGGAATACCAACTGATAACTGAGAAGAGAATGTGAGGAAGCAGAGCGCTCCGTATACCTATAGATCCACTGATCTTATACAGTCAATGTATATTTTTAGCTTTATGCTTTACAATTCAATCAAACTCATCTTCGAAAAATTAGAAACTATTGCTTTCCTTTACTTATTTCGTAACAATATGGTCAGCAATAAGTATAAGTATGTATATGTATATACGTATGTATATACATATGTATTATTATGTTGAAGCTATTTGAACCAGTCCACTTGAGCACTTTTACTCTTTCTTAACTCGAGGTATTTTTAAAACCACTCTTTACGTCTTGACTGGATTATTATAGATCTGCATACCTCCATTCTGAGATTTGATAACGCGGTGTTGGTAAGTCTGTCTGTATATATGGTATATATAATAAGTATTTATATACAGGAACAGTGTTACAAAATAAGTAAAGGAAAGCAACAGTTTCAGTTAAATGTACTTTTATGGCAAAACTATTAAGTAGGTGGTCCATATCATGTGCAGTAAAATTATGGTTTTGGTTTTGGATCCCATTGGCAAAAGATAAAATTAAAAAATCAAACATCATTCATTTCTGGTATCACATTGACATGAAGTATCTAACGCTCGACTTATTTACATTTCTAGTTTGCTTGATTGGATTGACTTTTATTAAGCGCCACAACGATAAGAAATGCTAGTTCTTCCATATGTTCGATCAGATAAAATTAACTTGGCATGCTATTAATTTAAAGTAATTGCGAGTGCAACCAACACCTTTCCCAGATGGCAAGCTTTGTAGCCTGAGGTGATGTTGCAATGTGTAATTGCATAATTGGCAGCAATCACAATGAAAACAATGAAAAGAGCTCGGATTACGTACTTGAGTAAGGCAATTTAAATGCCTTTCTGTGCTCTACTCGAAATCGTTTCGCTTGTGTGAAATCAGAAATAATGAAATTCAGATAGCGATACGATCAGCTATTGTACAATGCAATGTACATATGTACCTATGTACCTATGGTGATTGTGATTGTGATTGTGAACTATATTTTCCATTTACTTCCAACTGAATAAGTAACTGAACTGAACTTACGGCACTGCGGTGATCTATGCCGATCTGTTGTAGTCCGTTTCGCTTCGTTTCGCTGTATGCCGGCCTCATGTCAAGGTCTGTCGCAATCCAATGTAACATCTTTTTTAAATGATTTAATAAATGTTTTGTAGTTACTTTATTGTTGTAATATTTTATTAACTAACGTGGTTTAGTTGTCATAATGACTTTTTTTCATTTTTTTTTTTT